TGAACAGTGATTCATTGAAGGTGAACTAAACATGTTTAATGATAAGTTGTGATGAATTTAGTTCATTTTAACTAATGGAACCTTTATCTTTGCTTCACTGATGATGACCCTATTGGTGAAGAACTGACTCGGTTTATTGATGGTAGAATCTGAAACCAGTTCCGTATCTTTCAGGATGAGGACTCAGCGATGCTTACTGTGGCAGCGTCTCTGCAGATTCTGGATCTTCATGGCGGTCCTGCAGACGGACAGACGGGCCTCATTCATGGCTTCTGCTCCTCAAACAGGAAAAAACAAACCTTTGATCTCAGAGCCTCTGGTTTCCATTCAGGTAATGATCTCATTGTGGAACTGATGACATCAGCCTCTGTGTGTCACATGACCCGGTTTCCTACCTGGCAGACGGGTTAATCAGATGTTCCCTGTTCCAGTTGGAGTGGGGAAAGGATGGGAGCGTCCTGTAGAGCTTCAGTCAGTCAGCATCTAGAAGAGAGGATCCCATTGGTCCATCCAGGGAAACCATCTGCTCACCTTTACTGGATCACTGAACTGTGGCTGCAGAACCAGAACCTCAGGAAGCTCATCCTACTAGAGCAGGGGACCCACTGCTGATCAATGATGAATGAAGGAGTCACCTTTCATCACTGCACCTGTTGCCTGGCAACCAATCAGCAGCCAGCAGGACTGACCAATCATGAGCCAGGAACACTACGACCTCAGGATCAACCAGCCTGGACCAGAACCCTCTGAAACCGGGCCGCAGGGTTCAGCAGAACCTCAGCTCAGATTGACGGTTCTGTTAGTGAACTGGACCAGTACCAGACTGTTCATTAGTTCTAATCAGCTGGTTCCTGTTGGTTCTGGAACCGACTGCCTCATACTGGTTTCCACCCTTTTCAGTGGTTCTAACTATAGTTCTGCTGCTATAGGCTTAGACTGCTGGAGGACATAGGGACCCCTTTTTCATCATTCTGCTTCATTCTATCTCTATTCTCCCACTCTG